ATCCATCCATCCATCCATCCATCCATCCATCCATCCATTATTTTCACCCGCTTCTTCCGTTTCAGGTTGCGGGGGTCACTGGTGCCTATATCCAGTAGTCACTGTGCAAAAAGAGGAAGATGCCCTGGACATGGAGTTGTGTGCATTTAAAAAGGGGTGCAGCTGAACAAAAACTATTCTTTCTAAAAAAAAATAATAATAATAAAAAAAAAGACCAAAAAGAATGTTTTGAAATGGGTCTAAAATTGCAGAGAACAGATGAGGTCAGATTAAGAATCTTCAGCAACAGCTGCACAACAGAATATTTAAAACAGGCTGGAACAAGGCTTGAGCTGAGACTGCTGTCAGAAACCTCCAAAATGTCAGAGCCAGCAAATAGTTGGAACATCGTTTGTACAGAAGCTCCTCGTGTTGTAAACTGTCTTTTTGTTGGGATGTGCTTGTTTCTGTTGCATGTTGTTTAATGTTACGTTATGTAAGATGTTCAGTGCCAGGCCGGACTGATGTTAACAAAGGAGCTTAACACACTGACAGTGAAACTTTCACCGCTTTACGTCTATTAGATCAGTGCTAATCAGCCCAGAGTGGATATTCCTAAGAAGTGTGCCATGCAGCTTTAATTCAGGCTTGTCGCCCCAACACATACATGTTCTCCACTGTTTACATGTAAATAATATACAGGGTTTGCAACAATCTTTAAACGGTTGTGTACAGAAAGAGTTAATATGTTAAAACATATAATAAATCTGAGAAAATTAATTTTGTTGGGTGTCCTATAAGGTTTGTTTTGGCTAAAGAAAAGGAAAACAGCCCAACAAACACCTTAATGTACTTTTAAAGGCATCTTAAAAGAAGTAGCAGTGATGGTTGGTCCGTAACAGATTTACAAAATAAATTGTGAAATATTGCAGTTGACAAATTGAAAACTATAGTTCCTTTAAGTATTTAAACCAATACAATTTTTGTGGGGCAGAGACTATAGCAGCAGAACTATGTTTTCACAGTAACTCACACTGTACTCCCTTCATTGTCCTTTTGATATAATCCCTTCTAATCCAAAGCATCATTTTTATTCTGTTAGTTCATTTAAATTGAATCAATTCAACAATGACAAGAAGTCGTCAGCAGGTCTTAAGGGTCATGGTTCTTTTGAATCAAACTAAAGTTTGTGTTGTCCCAGAAACAATATCCAAGTACCTCAATACATATCTAAAAAAAGACTTGGGACACATAATTATATGAGCCTCAACTACAAGTTCAGGTTCTTTTATGCAAAAAACAATTAATCAAATATAGTGAAAAAAGAAAGTTTAATTCAACTGTGGCGTTGTCAGTTTATTAGACTTAAACATTGTGTGGTATGTTCAAGTTTTCGACTGACGTCAGCTTGATTGTAACCTGAAAAGTTTTTACCGTATAGGTCAGGCTTCTAAACTGGAAAGCTACACTGAAAACATTCAGCTTTGTTAAATAACAAATGCACAGTTTATATCAGATTAATTTACTTTTCGGAGACAAACACACACACACAAATCAAATATTGTAACTGCACTTTTATTTATTCATTTGATAGCACACAGGTGTGCCATTTTTTATGCAAAAGCCAGGAATTACCCTGATCCTGACCAGCCACAGAATGATGTTTAAGGTCAAGTCAAGGTCAATGTTCTTTATTGTCATTCACATCACATGTGGTACATGAGGTGGAATGAAATTGTGTACCCAGGGTCCCAGTTACACCCGACAATAGCAAAAATATAACGTATAAAAAGAATCAGTAAATAAGGATCTAAGATATATAAACAAAGATATACGCTAAACAGTGCGCTAAAAGATCTAAGATATATGCTAGTCACTAATAACAATACACCAAACAACAGCAGCATGAACATGAGTCTCTGTGGGTGGATGAGTATGAATGAATGAATGCAGCAGCATGAAATAATCAGCAGCATGGGATCAGCAGCACATCTCAACAATCAAAGTTGCATTACAGTGATTTTCCTGGTCAGGAATTCATGAGTCTAACATCTTCAGGGTGGAAGCTGTTCCTCAGTTTAGTGGTTTTACATTTAATGCTACTCAAACTCCTGCCTGAGGGGAGTGGAGCAAAAAGTGTGTGTGCTGGGTGAGTGGGGTCCTTCATGGTGCAGGTGATGAGATATACTGGGCAAACATTTAAAGTAGAACTCAATGCATTTCTGATCCTTAAAACAGGAACAAGTTCATAGTTGTTTATGAGCAAAACATGAGTCAAATCAGACAAAAGGTCAAAGTTAAACAGATATGAAGTGGGATGGAATATTTCAAACAAGTGCTTTAGACAAAGAGAGACACTTTTGAAAGAAGTAAAAAAAAAAAAAGTAAATGAGACTGAAAATGAATTTAAACAGTGGAACATTAATCTTTAGCTAAAAGTTTTTATGAATTGGAGCTCAAGACATGAGTTTGGGTTCCAGCTAAATCTTGTTCTGGTCGGCAGTAATCCACCCTCTTCTATTATGGGGGGAATCTGGCAGATCCCCAAGTTTGTTCAGCAGACAGATGAGGGTCCAGAAGGTGACTAACAGGATGAGGCCACGTGGGCCCCGCGGGGATTACAAAGCAGCAAGAAGAAGGTAAAGAGATTAGACTCCAAACGGAGCCTGCTTTTTTAACCTCGTCTCTGTAGTCACACTCACAGCAGAAAAGAAAACTCCCGGTCCTGTTTCCATCCGGATCCTAACCTGTCCACTGTCTACTGTCCATGCACCCATGCAGCCACGTCTCTTCTCCACAGGGATCCAGGACCAAACGACTGGGGACACACACTCAGAGCACGGTTTACTGGAGTGAGCTGGCACCTCAGCATCAGAGGAGACACCTCAGCAAATTCTCCTAATGGACTCGAGATAAGGAGATTCTGGATTGTCTTGTTGCTTGCAACTTTTTCTCCACAAATGATCACTTTGGAGCTGAAAGACACATAAATCAACCCATCATGCTTTTACAATCAGGAGTCTTTCTCACTTTCTGTCTGATTACACTCCAAGCAAATCAAATCAAAGGTAAGCAGCTGGGGCGAACTATTAAAAGAAAAAAAAAGTGTATTCAGCAAGTTCAGGTGTGTTTGTGTCAGTAAAAATAGTCCAGGAAGTAAAAAGCAGAAATCCAAAACGCCAGCTCAATCTCAGAGAGATGTTTGATTTTTACACGTCAAGCAAATGTCAAACATCCATCAATCAGTTTTTAAGGTCATGAACAGTCACCGTAAATTAAAGCGGTCATGATGTATAAGAAGTGGTCAGTCAGAGGGGAAGAAACATATTTTTCTGAAAATGCTGATGTTTGAGTCGGCACCGTGTTGTTCAGAGAGATGTGTCCGGGTGAGCTCATTATCCCAAAGGAAACAAAAGGCACTCTGTTCTCAGGATTGCAGGACGTTAATCTTTTCTGGCTTGTAATTCTCTTGTGAGGACCGTTTTGTTTTGGCCATTAATGCCCTTTCCAAACACCCCCCACCCCCACCCCCCGTTGCGCAGGCCCTCGTGCCTGTGCATGTGTGTGACAGGCTTAGAGTCCCGAACAAATGACTCAAAAGCCCTGATGGGGCTCTTAAAGAAATTTCAGCTTTTATTTAAAAAAAAAAAAAAAAAAAGCAATCTATGAATGTTTTGTAATAAATGGTTGCATGGTTTTGCAGGGTAGACACCGTACGTGGAGCCTTTTGTCTTTTCATCCATCAGTACATGTCATTTCTACCATGCTTTTATTTTGAAGCTGCTATTTGCTGCAGGTTTATGCACCTGTTAGGAATTAGACAATATTTGATTATGACTTCAAGTAAAACTTACAGTATATATAGATTTATGATTTATTTAGTTTGTTAAATATGGCAATCAATGTTTCTTTTATTGAAAAAATGAACTTTATCCAAACATATTTGTTATTTTTTAGACAGCAATTCAAAACCTAAAAGCACAAACCAAAGCTAATTTAATCATTTTTAATTTTTTAACTTTTTTTTTACACTTCTGCATCCTATATTTAATTAAAACTATCATTAGTTTAAGTAGAAAAACAATAGAAAAATCAATGCAAATATGTTCTTGTTTTTAGCATTTTACCTTGTTTTATAATGCGCCTTGATTTTATTGTTTCATAACATTATCTTTAAATTTTTGTTTGAATTGCATTTTGTTGTTGTTTATTGTTGTCTGAACTTTATATGTTGTCTGTCCAAAACAAAGCTCTCTTGAAAACGAGTCCTCGTGACTCAATGAGACTAACCAATATGAATAAAGATTCAATTGAAGTAAAATATTAGAGAATACTGAATTTATAGTTAATAGTAGTTTGTCAATTTAATAGCATGAAGTATAGAAATGGTAATTTGGATAAAAAAAATCATTGCAGCTTAAATAGAGACAAAAATCTATGTGATGCATAAAACCTAATTGGTCGTGTAATTATGTGGAAAAAATTGTAAATCGCTGCTTAATTTGCATAATAGGTTTTTAATAATTATATATTTTTTTCTTTTTTTATGTTGCAGTATGCCCATCAACTGAACAGGTGCTTGATTAAAAAAGGAAAATTATTTAAAAAAATCATCACTTACGAGTGTTAACACGATTATATTTTATTTAAATACATATTTGTGTAAACATGACCCCTTCAGTTTCCACTTCCATTAAATACTGCATTTTTATTTAAAAGTTTTGAGTCAAACATGAACATAATAGCCCAATAATTACATTATTTCCACTCACTTGTTCTTATTGTAATTTTCTGGCTAAGATTTCTGATCCCTTTTCCAGAAGAGTAGTTTGTTATTTGGGTTTAGTGACCTCCCGTTGGTGTTTTGGGGCTCACAAATCCGGGCTTTATTTCTTAAGAAGTCCTAAAAGATTTGCCAGCTGGCATTACAATGAGAGCCATTTTATCTAAAATAGATTTTTTTCTACAGGTGACAAACCGAATTTGAAACAGCACACTGATTTTTATAGGGGTGTAACATTAAGTTCCTAATTAACCTCACAAATGAATAATCATGTAGTAGTATGTTATAAATATACAGGTATATGACAATGGTTAGATTTGTTTCTATTAACAGAGGCTCCTGTTTATGTCACAGTGAACCTGAATGCTTAAATCTTATGCACACATCTGTAGGGCTTCTTTGTTTTATACCGTAGTCAGACCACAATCTATATATGGTCATAAAACAAACAGCATTGAATTCAGACAGCTGAACAAAGGCCACCATGCACCACCATGGATCAGATATCTGTCCAATTTAATACTTTTTAGTGAATGACACTACAGGACTAACAAAAGCTTGGTAATGAAATGCTCACTTGTGTGATTTAAACCATTTCCCCCACAATTTTTTACATAAAAAACCCTCTCCCATCTCAATCTTCTACTTATTATCAATCATTGGGTAATGGAGGCAATAGGTCTATGAGAGAAACCTAGACAGTCTTCTCTCCAACTTCTCCTGGAGAACTCCCAAGGCGTTCCATGGCAAGAGAAGGTGCACAATCCCTCCAGAGAGTTCTCGGTCTTACCAGTGGGTCATTCTGGAAAACCTCCAAAGGGAAGCATCCTAATCCAATGGTTCCCATCCCTGGTCCTCAAGGAACACTATCCTGCATGTTTTAATTGTTTCCCTGCTTTGACACCTGATTTGAATGAATGGGTGATTAACAGGCTTCTGCAGAACTTGAGGAAGTAATTCTTCTTCTTCTATGCGCTTTTCTCTCTTCAGAGGTCGCCACAACGAGTCATCCTCCTCCATCTCACTCCATCCTTTGCATCCTCTGTCCACACTCCAACTACCTCCATGTTCTCTCAAACTGCATCCATATATTTGGCCTTACTCTTTGTTTATTTTTTTTTCCCTGGTAGTTACATTTCTAACATCCTTCTGCCAATATACCCACGGTCCCTCCTCTGGACATGTCCAAATCATCTCAGTCTGGCCTCTCTAACTTTTTCTAACCCGTTGTTCAACATGTGCTGTACCTCTGATGATCTCATTCCTAATTTTATCCATCCTTGTCCCTCCTAAGGAGAACCTCAACATCTTCATTTCTGCCACTTCCAGTGCTTTTTCCTGTTTTTTTGTCAACACCAATGTCTCCAGACCATACAATATAGCTGGTCTCACAACTGTCTTGTAAACTTTTTCTTTGACCTTTGCTACCACCCTTTTGTTGCAAATCACTCCTGAAACTTTTCTCCATTCACTTCATCCTGCCTGGACTCTCTTCTTCACCTCTTTACCACACTCCCCATTTTCCTGGACAGTGGACCCTAAGTACTTGAAGTCCTCCTCTTTTGTGACCTCTGCTCCTTGTAACCTCACTGTTCCACCAGCCTCCCTCTCATTCACACACATGTACTCTGTCTTACTATGGCTGTCTTTCATTCCTCTTCTTTCAAGTGCATACTTCCACCTCTCCAAGTTATCTTCCACCTGTTCGCTGTTCTCACCACAGATCACAATGTCATCTGCAAACATCATCGTCCATGGGGATTCCTGCCTGACCTCATCTGTTAGTCGGTCCATCACCAGAGCAAACAAGAAGGGGCTCAGAGCTGATCCTTGATGCAATCTCACCTCCAACTTGAAGCTATCTGTCACTCCTACAGAACATCTCACCACTGTCCTGCTGTCCTCATACATGTCCTGTACCATTTTAACATACTTTTCTGCCACTCCAGATTTCCTTGTGCAATACTGCACCTCCTCCCTCGGCACCCTGTTATATGCTTCTTCTAAATCCACAAAGACACAATGGAGTTCTTTCTGACCCTCTCTGTACTGTACTCTGGCTGAGTGGTTAGAGCAGTTAGTTGTCCTCCAATGCAAAAGTTGGGGGTTTTATTCCACCAGCAGTCACATGTTGAAGTGTTCATGGGCAAGACACTGAACCCCTCATTGCCTTCGATGTGTGTCCCATCGGTATATGAATATGATAAAGCACTGATTATTCTTTGTAAATAAATAGTAGAGTACTGCATGAATGGGTAAATGAGGGGTAAAGCGCTTTGAGTATCTTGATAAGGAAAAAAAAGCGCTATATAAGTGCAATCCATTTACCATTTTACTTATCCATCAGCATCCTCAAAGCAAAGATGATGTCTGTGGTGCTCTTTCTTGGCATGAAACCATGCTGCTGCTCACAGTCACCTCGTGTCTAAGTCTTGCTTCGACAACTCTCTCCCAGATCTTCATTGTATGACTTGTCGACTTAATTCCCCTGTAATCATTACAACTTTGTACATCACCCTTGTTTTTAGAAATGGGCACCAGCACACTTCTTTTCCATTGCTCAGACATTTTCTCACCCTCAAATATGCCATTGAATATTTGAGCTAAAAACCTCACTGCCATCTCTCCAAGACATTTTCACCTCCACTAATATGTCATCAGGTCCTACTGCCTCCCCCTTCATTATTTTCAGAGATTTCTGGACTTGACCCTCACTAATCTTTCCCAATTCCTGGTTCACAGTTTCTATGACCTCTACTCTTGTTTCTCTTTCATTCTCTTCATTCATTAGCTCCTCAGAGTACTCCTTCCATCTTCCCATCTCTCTCTCCTCATTTGTTAGCACATTACCATTCCTATCTTTAACAAGCCTAACCTGCTGCACATCCTTTCCACCCAGTTCCTCTCTGAATTTCTCACGGCATTCTTCTTTCTTCAGCTTCCACCATTTGGTCTTCTTCTCTGATTTTACTCTTTTTCTGTTCTTTACAACAATAGTCATCCTACACACCATCATCCGATGCTGTCTAGCCACGCTCTCCCCTGTCACAACCTTACAGTCTCCAATCTCCCTCAGGTTTCCTCTTCTACACAGAATGTAGTCGACCTGCGTACTCCTTCCTTTACTCTTATAGGTCACTCTATGTTCCTCCCTCTTTTGGAAATAAATGTTGACTACAGCTATTTCCATTCTCTTGGCAAAATCCACCACCATCTGTCCTTCCTGGTTTCTTTCCTTGACAACAAACATACCCATCACTTCCTCATCCCCTCTGTTTCCTTCACCAACATGTCCATTCAGGAGAAATGAACTCGAGGAAGTAATTCAATCTCTGAATCAGATGTTTTGGAGCAGAGAAACAACTGAAACATGCTGGATAGTGGTCCTTGAGGACCAGGGTTGGGAACTTCTCCTTTCAAAGCAAAGGATCAGCAGCTCTACTCTGAGGTCCACCGGATGACAAAGCCCCTCACCCTATCTTTAAGGCTGAGCCCAGTCACCCTACAAAGGAAGCTAATTTTGACTGCTTTTATCCAGGATCTTGCTCTTTCGGTCATGATCCAGACCTTATGACAATAGGTGAGCGTTGGAATGAAAACAGACCAGAAAACTGAGACTTTTGACTCAACTCTTTCTTCACCCACTCAACCAAATAAAAATATTACAGTAACAGGACACTTGTAATAATTCAGTGGTTTCTCTTTGTTAAATATCCAAGCAGTTAAAGAAAATATCTTAAGATTTCACAAAGCAACACGGAAGAATCTGGACCGGGTCTGTCCTTGAAACCGGTCTGACTCCTCGTCTGGTTCTGGCGTCTGGTTCTTTTATTCCCAGATGGAGAGGAAACTCGCTCTAACTCAAATAAATCAAGATATATAATTTCAGTTTATCAATTTAATGTCCATCAGGCAGGAAAAAGTTACAGGTTCAGTGCTGAAGTGTCCGGCATATTTGTCTGCATTACTGTACTTGATTTATGGAGGTCATATGATGCATATAACCTGAAAAGGCTGTTTTAGTCCTTCTGGAGGACTAGGGGTCTCCACAGCGAGTCATCCTCCTCCACCTCACTCTGTCCTCTGCATCCTTTGTCCTCACTCCAACTACCTTCATGTCCTCTCTAACTGCATCCATATATCTCCTCTTTGTCCTTCCACTTTGTCACTTTTCATTAAAAATTAAAAATAACAGATTTCTTTTTGCTGAAGTTGATTAGCTGTGGCGGCCACTATAAATCAGGTTAGCTCCATAAATTAATCAGATGTAGAGGTGCATCCCTTAATTAATTTCTGGGACTTTCCAACAAAATTCAGTCAGGTCATCTGGATGGTTTCTTTTTTGTTGTTGTTGAGACGTTTCATCCTTCATCCAAAGGACTTCATCAGTCCGAGGAGCCACAACAAACTCAGTCCCACAAGCAGCACACTCA